GGGCGCTGTCCCTCAGCTCTTCAGCTCAAGGCTAGCGCTCTACCACTTGAGCCACAGCGCCACTTCCGGCTTTTTTCTCTTTGCTTATGTGGTGCTAAGGAATCGAACCCAGGGCCTCAGGCATACAAGGCAAGCACTCTACCACTGAGCCACCTTCCCAGCCCCTACATTTCTTTTTTAGTGTTTACTTGAAATTAGATTGGCTCCCTTCTGGAAAGAAATCTCAAGTATACATAGGATTATCTTTTCTTCATGCGGTTTATTTTTGGTTTTAGTTTTTTTGGAGGTGCTACATAATATACTTGGTAGACTTGACACTTTCCCTTTGAGCCATGATCTTGGCTATTTATGCTTTGAGGTTTTTGGTTTTTGATGCCTGTCTTGGAGCTTGAACTCAGGGCCTGGGTGCTATCCCAAAGGGTTTTTTTTGCTCAAGACTAGTCATCTACCACTTGAGCCACAGCTCCATCTATGACTTTTTTGGTAGTTAATTGGGCATAAGAGTCTCTTGGACTTTGTTGCCCTGCTAGCTTTAAACTGAGATCCTCAGATCTCAGCCTCCTGATAAGCTAGAATTACAGGTGTGAGCCACCAGAGCTTGCACTCTGGCTGTTTTTGAAATAGACTTTTTGCCAAAGTATTGCTCTTTCCTTTGGCTTCCTGCTGTACCTAGATAGGGAGCATATGCCACCATTCCCAGGTTTCTGTTAAGATGCAGTCTCTCAAACTTTTTTTTTTTTTTTGCCAGGCAGGCATGACCTAGAGCCATATTCCTTCCAATCCTAGTCTCCCATGTAGCATTTACCACCAAACCCACTGTTGGCTGAGATGGGCTCTTGGAAACATTTTGCCTGGGCTGGCCTCAAAGCATGATACTTTCAACTTCAAATTTTTGAGTAGCTAAAATTACAGACATGAGCCCTTATGCCTAGCCAGCCCAAGTTTGGTGTGTTGGATCACACAATACCACAGGACTATGTAATTTTTCCAGTTTGTGGACTACAAAGTAGCTTGTTATATTTATAACTTCCAGCCTTCCAGTTTTTCTTATTCAGTTGTAATTGGTGAAAGCCCTTTTAGAAATATGCTCAAGAGTGAGATATTTGCTTAATCCAAAACCTACTTTGTTTCTTATTATCAGTACATAATGCTAGCATACTCTGTGTCTGCTACTAGCATTTCTCACCTATAGGGCATTGCTTATAAATACATTTGACTGAGAATTTATCATTATTCTTTATGCTGCAATCTACAGAGCAGTTCCTAGAGGAATTGGCCCATTTGAAGCTTGCTTCCCAAATTTCAGTGCTCCTTCCTGCCTCCAGACCACTTCCTAGCACCTGAGACTCTAAAGATAGTTAATGCTCTTGTGGAATAGCAGAGAAAGATAATGCAGGCTGGTGTTGCAGCTCAGTGATAGAGTACTTACCAAATTTATACATACCACCCCTGGACTCCATCCCCAGCATCACAAAAGGAATAAAAATAATTAACAAACTAAAATGTAAGTGGACATTCAGATTTTGTGTGTGTGTGCTACTCCTGGGGTTGAACTCTCAGGTCTTGGGCACTGTCCCTGAGCTTTTTGCTCAAGGCTGGTGCTCCACTACTTGAACCACAGCTGTACTTCCAGCTTTTTTGGTTGTTAGTCGGAGATAAGTGTCTCACCGACTTCCCCTTGCCCATGCTGGCTTTGAACAATGATCCTCAGATCTAAGCCTCCTGAGTAGCTAGGATTGCAAATATGAGCCACTAGTGCCCAGCTCTGAGCATTGGAAAACCATCAGGCAGGCAGACGTGTGAGGTACCAGTATGGGGCAAAGCAGACACCCTTTAATCATTGGGGCACATCTACAACATAACCATTACCTTTAGAGAACTTAGCAGAATTAAAGCTGTACACATTGGTTAGGAGCTTTTGGTAGGCCACACTCTTTGACAAGAGGAAATTGAATTTTAATTTTAGAGATAGGGTCTTCAAGAGAGATTCTGCCTTATATTAGATTCAGCTGCTGGGTGAACTATGTTAAGGTTAGCCCATAGGAGGAGAAAATGTAGATCTTTAAAAGGTGAAGGCTATGGAAGGCAGGAAGGAAATAGGAGATCCAATCTGTCATAATTCTGAGTGTTAGATTGCATAGTAGAGGACAGGCTTTGTTAAGGTTATAATGCTTGTGCTTGTAGTGATACCTTTTCATATCTGAAATTGTTGTCAAGTGTGTGGCAGAGCCAGCATGGTAGTATACTCAGGGACTGAGTGAGTGAGTTTGACTCATCTGTGCTAAACCATGAGGCCCAGTCCCAGAGATGTATGTTGAGAGGAGGGTGACTAATAGTTCACACAACAATGATCCTTAATAAAATTATATGGTAAGATAATTAAGCATCAGCAGCTGACAAACATTACACTCAGCAAGTCAGATGGTCCCACTATGTGTCTAGCCTGCTTTTGAACTCCTGGGGCTTATGTGACCTTCCTACTTGAAGCTCCAGAAGGAGTAGCTAGGACTTTTGATAATTATGTGCCTACATCTCATTCCTTCCTTCTCCCAAACACTCAGAAATTAAGCTCCTTTAATACAGCAACCAGTATTTTTTAGTAGATACTAGTATTAGCAACCAGTATTATTTAGTAGATACTAAGAAAGCACTGGAAAAAATTGAGCATTTAGTTCTGTGAAAGTTGGGGATAAACTAACTGCAAAAAAAAAATGGTATACCTAAGTAAAAGAAAGTGACTTTAGTATGACTATTTCGATTGTGTTTATTTGGTCATTTCTTCTCTCTCAGCTAAAAAGCTACCAAAGAATGAACCACAGAATCCAGGAGCAAATTCTGCTAGAGGAAGAGGAGTGGACCTTACTGAACCGACACAGCCAACCAGGAGTCAGTGTTGTAGTAACTAAATCTCCAGTTTGAACTAGCTGGTATTTTCTGCTTCCTAAACATTAATAACAGTGGAATTGGAGCATTTAACCGGCCCAGTATGACTTCCAAAAAGAAGAGACTTATGATAGATGTCAAGTTTCTAATACAGGATTATTTTAAGTGTTTTGAACTTAATTTTTAATAACGTGCATGTATCCCTCTGACTAATGTTTCAGCAATAGAAAGGGAAAATGACTGTGTATAATTGTTTCATTGACAGTTAGAGGGAATAATTTCTCATCATTAGGGATAAAGACAAATGACTACTTGGACCTATAGTCACTCAGTTTTTCCAGACTGGGACAATGGTCATCTCTGAAAATGATTTGGAAATTAACTAATTTGGGCTTTTGAAAAACATTTTTAGAAGGAGATTTTAAAAATATGCCTAGCTACAGTATTCACATCAATGATCATTTCTTCTGTTATCTAAAGTCTACATTCCACAGTTAAAAAATTACTACAAGGAAATGGTCCCACTTCTTCAGGAAGAAAGAAGAAATGTTTGTAGCACCTAAATTGTAGCTAGTTGTTTGTTTTTTTAAAAGTGGGATTTTAATAAGTCATCTGTAACCCCATCTTGTTCTAGGAACACAAAAACTGATAAATGCATTTTAATGGGTAGTGTTACCTTCTTGTGAGCTCATCAACAAAAAATGGAAACCAACCAGGTGTCTGTGATTTCTATTTAATCACTGCTGGCCATTATATATATCTTGTAAGGGAGGGAGGGGCTCTTGTTCCCTCCTGATATAATAGAGTCAGTGCACTAACAATTATGTACGTTTAAACTTGATTATTTTAAATTTGATCTTCAACTGTACTGTAAATAGGGTACTGCATTGTAGTCTCCATATGTTTATTATTTTCTGTAATATTTAAGAATTGCTTAAAAGTATACAAAATGTACAGTTACTAAAACAGCTAATTATTTCTTTCTCCTCCTTTGAAAAGAAGGGGCTTCAGGTTGTTCCTACATGGCTAGAACCATAATAAACAATGCACCTGTAATTTGTAACATAAGTATTACGACGCTAGTAACAATCTTGCAGCTTTGTTTTTCAAAGTCTATTTTATTTTGATCAGTTCAGTATATTGCACTAATTATTTTAGGTATTTTCATTATATGAAATCTACCATGTGTCAGAGATGATTTAATCTATTTAAGTGTTGAACTGCTAGCAGAACTTGTACATTTTACAGTAATTGAGAATTAGTAAGGAAAACAGTTCACCAGTGTTTAGTTTTATATTGAGGTGCTCAGGTTGGAATAAAGTGGTATAAAAAGCAGTACTTGTTTTTCTCTTCTTTAATACAAACAGTGCGTGTCTATTAATAGTATTATATGAACCAAAGTTTGCTGTTAAAATTTTCTTACGATCTTTAGTACTCCTTGCATATTCTCTGATAACTGTTTTGGGAAGAATTGTCTTTGTGCTGTTACGTTTTGGTGCTCTGGATAATTAGAACTTTATTTTTCATGGCAGCACTGGATACTCACTTCCACTGAGAAATATTAACATAACTGTGATGTTGTCTCTGGAACCAAAGTTTGCTGTTAAAATTTTCTTATGATCTTTAGTACTCCTTGCATATTCTCTGATAACTGTTTTGGGAAGAATTGTCTTTGTGCTATTATGTTTTGGTGCTCTGGATAATTAGAACTTTATTTTTTATGGCAGCACTGGATACTCACTTCCACTGAGAAATATTAACATAACTGTGATGTTGTCTCTGGAACCAGCCCGCAAGGCAGCATTTACGAGTTCACGGCTGACATACTCAGCCGCACCTTCATAGAAATCCTTAGCTTGTGATTTGTTTCTGCTTATTTGCAAACTGTCTACAGTGTTGGGTCTGTCCGTTTCTTCTGCCTTTCTGAAAAGTGTATGATTAGTCATCTTTGATGGACGTGTTCCCACATTTTTAGGGCTAGAAGAGTGGTATTCAGCATATTTTGAGCCAGAAATCTTGTTTGTATTTGTAATTGACACATGGTCTTTAGATTCCTCTATATTCTGAAATAGTATATGGATGTTGCTGTCTGATTTAGTAATATCTGTGCCACCGTTGGAAATAAGCAGAAGCTCTTTGAGTGGTGAAGATTTGCGTCGTGTGACAAAATGGTACGCTTCTGTATACATCTGAAACAATGTTATTATCAGTGAAGTGACTTCCTTTTTATCCAAAACTTCCCAAAGTCCATTAGTAGCTAGCAAAAGGAACTGACACAAATCATCTATAGGGACAGAAATGGTTTGAGGTGCTGGGATAAAGAACTTTTTCAGTTGGGGGTTGCCATGAAATCCAAATCCTCGTGTGGTTTTTATTTGTCCTTCTAGGAGCCCACTTAGTTCGTTGGGGCTAATTACTGCTCCACCGTCAAGCACTCTTTTTCTCTCATTGATGTTCCGTGTGGTATGTTCTTTGGTTAAGCAGAATCCTTTGCCATTTCTGCATAAAAGTGCTTGCACGTTACCTGTAAATTATTTTTTAATGGAACAATTACCAGTTGTGCCAACATATGCTGTTAACTTTACTCAGTCCTGTGTTTCAGTGCTCATCAGAAAGCAGGCCAAGTAATAATACTTTATTTGGGCTGAATGGTTTACAGTTAGTTAGATTTCAAACTGAGAAAAAACCAGTTTTCTGTGTGAAGCAATACACTGCATTTACTATTAAAATAATTCAAACCACAGATTGAATATTACCTACTTCAACTTTTTTTATAACCAATACATATTCCATGTAGCAGATTTTTTAATGTTTAAATGAAAGCTATTTTGAATAGTAAATGTGAAAAACAAAATGGAACTTAGGTGATGGGTGGTAAAACAATTAGAATGCCACTGTTAATGTCCTACTAGGTTCCTGCAATATGTAATTAAACAAAAAGTAAGTCATTCTGTGAAGAAAAAAACAGGCATTACTACTAATGTACTAAATGGATTAAACCCTTTGGTTCAGAACTGAAATCTTAAATAAGTTCCATTGTTCTGAAATAGTTTAGGGATATTTGGTTTGAGGCAGGCTGGCCTTGGTCTCTTGCTTTTTGATATGCTGGGGTTTACAGGCCTGTGCCATACCCAGCTAAGACATCATGTTTTGGGGATAAAAGAATTTGGGGTTTAGAAAGTTGAAGTCCCCTGCCTCTGGTTTGATTGAAAGAAAACCTAATTTGGTGACAAGTAGTTAAAAGATACAGAGAAATAATTCTGACGCATTTGCCTCTTGAGAAGTACTGACGTCCATGCTACCGGACAAGGACCAAGAGATGATATATACACAGACATCTGGAGACCTGAGGGCTATATAAATGATAGGTATAAAAACTACATGACCTCTCTTTCCTTTGTAGTTCAGTTACTGATTCTTTATATTAACTTGTATTCCTGCTGCTCCTACTGAGATTGTTTAGGGAAATAATTCTTGACTCTTGATGGGTGTGAAATCAATGTTACCCACATAGTATGTATGGGATGGTATTTAACGTCTGCTGATGAAACTAAAGAGAACCTCTGGTTATGGACTGCTTTTAAAACAGCCTCTTGCTGTCGCTTAGCTTTCCTGCTCATACTTGATGCTCTACTATTTACGTCACACCTCCAGCTGTGCTTTTTGCTAATTGGAGATGTAGTCTCATGAACTTTTCTGCCCCAGCTGGCTTTGAACCAAGTCATCCTGGATCTTCATCCCTGAGTCACTGGGATTGCAGCTGTGAACCAGTGGCACCCACTTTAGAGGAAGGTTTTGTTCATGTGGCGGTCTGGAAAGGAGAAGTTGGCTGGTTTTCAAGAGGGTGGCCTGGCTCTGAATAAAGCTTCCTGTGCCATCTGTATGGAGGAAGTAAGAACAGCTAGCCAAGTGGCAAACTGCAGAATAAATTTTAGTCGAGTTAAACAGTTCAAATTTTAAATATTAGCATCTTTTAGTAGAAAATGTGAACAGAGGAACAAAATGGGAGTCTCTAAAAGACCAATATGTTTTAAGGATAATAGTCTAAGGAATTAACAATAACTAGTTTGAGGCCTGCTCAGGTGGTGCAAGCCTGACATCTCAGCTAATGCAGGTGGATCAAAAGTTCAAAGGCCATCCTCGGTGACTATACCCCGAAGTTGAAAACAGTAAAGAAAGAAGAGTGGTGTTCATGGGAAGCACTCCTGGAATGTTCCAGAAGGTACTGAAGTAGAAGAAATGGCATAGAGAAGTGTGAAGTCCTGGAAGCCTGACACTAAGCCAGGCTTTGGGTTATTGAGTCTTTCTGTTTCCCTGTTTATCACCTGCCTGTTACTTGTCAAGTTTGCCGTGAGGATTTAATAGGTGGATCTTACAATTGAAAAAGTATATTTAGTGTTTCAGGAAGGAGAAAACCACCAAGAAGCTACTTAAATGAAACAGGAAATGACAGTTGTCTCATGTCAAATCAATAGATAAAAGAATTATAGAAACCCTTAGGAAATAGAACTACAAGTTTTTAAGAGTAGTTTGTAGGGATCTGGGAATGTGGCTTAGGAGTAGAGTACTTGCCTAGCATGCACAAAGCCCTGGGTTCAATTCCTCAGTACCACATACACAGAAAAAGCCAGAAGTGGCACTGTGGCTCAAGTGGTGGAGTGCTAACCCTGAGCGCAGGGACAGTGCTCAGGCCCTGAGTTCAAGCCCCAAGCAAAGCAAAAACAAATTTTTTTTTTTTTTTGGTCCGGTCATGGGGCCTGAACTCTGGGCCTGGACGCTGTCCCTCAGCTCTTCAGTTCAAGGTAGCACTCTACCACTTGAGCCACAGTGCCACTTCCGGCTTTTTTCTTTTTGCTTATGTGGTGCTGAGGAATTGAACCCAGGGCTTTGAGCATGCAAGGCTAGTGCTCTACCACTTGAGCCACAATGCCACTCCTAACTTTTTCTGCTTATGTGGTGCTAAGGAAACGAACATAGTACCTCATGCATGCAAGGCAAGCGCTCTACCACTGAGCCACCTTTCGAGCCCCAACAAAATTTTTTTTAAAAGTAGTTTGTAGGAAGTTGGAACTTAGGGAAGAAGAAATGAGTTCCTGGAAAAGAGTGATAAGTGTGCATGTAAATGAGAGGCTCCAGCATGTGAGATTTGTGTCACTCCCTCCAAGTAATTAGTATGAGCCTTACTCCTTTGGGATTAGTGTGCATTAGAGGTTACAAAGATCCTGTGTTTTGCAACATGCATAATCATGAAATTCATACAGTTGTCTATTGCTCAGCATTGTACGCTTAATATATAACTCAGGGGGCAGAGATCAGGATTACCGTTCCTGACAGCCTGGACAAGACATCAACCAGACTCCACCTCTAGTCAGACCTGGTAGTGAATGACTAAACCCAGCTATATGGGATGCGGGGAGGTGTGTGTTAAGAGGATTGCGGTCTAAGCCTAACCTCAGGCAAAAAGCTTGAGACTATCTAAAACATGACTACAAAGAACTGTTGGTATCTATGGGGGTAGGATTCCAAGGAGACCACTTTAGAGGCCAAAATAAAACGCAAATGCTCAGAATGCAGAGTTGCATGCTTCATTTCCCCCCACAATGCCTCTCAACATCCCCTAAAGACATCTTATAAATATATCTCAGTTTTTCACCTTAGACCTCCAATGAAGCATATCATGAAGCTTTCTTGGGGAAGTAGAGCTGTGGCTCAAGTGGTTGAATAGTAGCCTTGAGCTAAAGACCTGAGGGATGGCGCCCAGTTTCAGAGTTCAAGCCCCATGACTGGGGGTGGGGGTGGGTGGGTACTTAAACCAACCTGAACCTTTCTTGGCTTAGGATTGCTGTCACTTCCCTGGTGCATTTTGGTCACTGTTTGTTTTGAGAGAGACTTTCCCCCCCAAAAAAAACTAAGGGCCAGAAAACTGTAGATCATACAAGGGTTGAAATACAACTAATGATGCTTCAGGACTGACAGAACCCTAACCCTACAGCGACTGAGCTGGGGGGTACATGAAAACAAAATGTTTGCTTCTGACATTGTTTAACTGGGGTGAAAACCATGTATCTGTGGAGAGGATGGTGGTTCTGGCAGAAAAGTCCATGAACTTCAGTCTTAAAAGAAATTCAGTGTCATGGCATGAAGCTGTCATTCCAATTGTGATGGGAAGTATGAAATGGGATTATGGTCCAGGCACAGCCCAGGAATTGCAAGACCTTATCTCAACCCATACAAGAAAGAGCTGGAGGTGGCTCAGTGATAGAACACCTACCTTGCAAGAACAGGGCCCTGAGTTCAAAGCCTACTATGTCAAAAGTGAAAGAAAAGACATGATTGATAGACAAAGAAGTCAATGATCAAATCTGTAACAACACTGAGGACTTGAAAAATAATGACAATTTGATCTCATTGATATCTATAGATACCACCCAACAATAGCATAGTACATAGTTGTTTTCAAAGGACATCTAGAATAAGCAAAGTAGAACTGGGTGCCAGGCTTGCTCCTGTACTTCTGGCTGCTCGGGAGGCTGAGATCTGAGAATCAGGGTTCAAAGTCGACCCAGGCAGGAAAGTTCATGAGACTCTTGTCTCCAATTAAACAGCAGAAAGCTGGAGTGGAACTGGCTCAAGTGGTAGAGCGCTAGGCTTGAGCTTCTAAAGAGTTCAGAGACAGTGCCCAGGCCCAGACAACCAGGCCCCACAACCGACCAAAAAAAAATGTATTGAGCCGGATGCTGGTGGTTCAAACCTATAATTCTAGCTACTCAAGAGGCTTTTCTACAGATCATGGTTCAAAGCCCAGCCTAGGCTGGAGACTGTTATCTCCAATAAACTCAGAAAAAGCTTGAAATAGGACTGTGGAAGTGGCTCAAGTGGTAGGGTGTTAGCCTTGAGCAAGACAAGCTCAGAGACAACCCCCAGGCCTGGAGTTCAATCCCCAGGGCAAAAAATAAAAATAAAAGATAAGGAGTATTGTAGTTCTGGGCTGACCTTGAAAATAAAGCCAAAATGGACTGAATCATGGCTCAAGTACTGGAGCACTTGCCTGCCAGGCTCCAGGCCCTGAATTCAAACTCCAGCATCATTAATAAAGGAGGCTGAGGATGAGAGGAAGATGATAGAAGTTGGGAAACACAATATTCTAGCCATCTCTGCAGGAAGAATGTTTTAAAACTCCTTAAAAAAAAAAAAAAGCCAGGCAGTAGTGGCTCATGCCCGTAATCCTAGCTACTCAAGAGGCTGAGAGCTGAGGATCACGGTTCAAAGCCAGCCTGGGCAGAAAAGACCATGAGACTCTTCAATAAAACATCGGAAAACTGGAAGTATCCCTGTGGCTCAAGTGGTAGAGTGCTAGCCTTGAGCTGAAGAGCTGAGGGATAGCACCCAGGTCCAGAGTTCACGTCCCATGAAGGACAATACAAAACAAAAACCGACCACTTTTAACCAGAAGAGTGCATTAAGAGGTATAGTGCCTGCTTATTGAATTTGAACTCTGAGTTCAAACTCCAATTCTGTCAATAA